AGCACTGCTGCTGGAGGACGAGTCCACAGGGCAAGGCCCCAAGTGCAGCCAGCTGGCGCTGGAACAGGATGTGACCAATTAAGGTCTATTTATTTGTAATGAGACAAAACACTACAATCGTTCAACACTGGGCTGGACACTGCAGTGATTCGGGGACAGGAGGAAGGGAAGGGCAGGGCAAGGCCTCTGAGCTCGGTTATGAATGTCTAAGGCAGAACCTTCCAGAAGACTCTTCCCTTACCCTGTGGAGCAGAAATAAAAATCATATGATCACCGTTGATTCGGAGTGGAGAGGGCACCAACTGGCCTCAGCAGGCAGCCGACATCAGCAGCGGTTCACGTCAGTCAGCACGACATGGCCCTCCTGCTGGCCAGCACTGTCGACGGACGGGACACTTTCCTGCCCAGGGTGTGCCTTCATCTTGAGGACTGTCCCCCTGCTGTGAGGCCAGGAGGCCCTGGGGTGGCCCCAGCACTGAGACCTCTGGGCTGGCAAACTCTGGGGGAGCCAAGGACTCGGGTCACCGAGGCCCCATCTGCCCAGGCTGTTCCCCCTTCTTCCTCCTCCTCCTTCGGCTGGCGCAGTGGGTCGCTGCTAGGACCTCCACCATGGCTCTTGTGACACTGCAGCTACACTGGGCAGGGCTGCCCTCCACCCCCAGCTGCTCTGGCGGGCAGGGCAGACAGCAAGCAGCTTCTGGGGGAGGCGGAGTGGAGGGAATGCTAGAAGCGTGTGATGCGTGTCCGCTGCGAGCACACGTCACGGCACTGACACAGCCTCTCTGCTCTCAGATGCTGAGAGCCCCCCAGGACCCCACGAGACCCGCAGCAGCCTAGAAGCCAGATGCCGGGCTCAGCGGCCTCCTGCCTGCCTCTGGCCAGGCCTTGCAGCGGCAGGTCATGAAGGATGAGTGAGGTGGGGAGAGGACCCCAGAGCCTCAGCGGCACCTGTCCCTCAGCCCAGCTCCCAGCAGCAGGTCAGCTGAATGGAGCATTCCATGATCCAATGAGAAGGGCCATCTCCCGGAGGCGGTGGGAACTGTACAGCACGAGGCGCTGAGGAGAGGAAACTGTCCCATTGTCTGACCGCCTGTGTCAGGGAGCTGAGCCCCAGAGCGCTGTGCTTGCATGAAAAGCCTCCTCCACTGTGCCCACCCCTTACCAGCCCCTCATGGAGGGGCAGGGCCATCCCCCACCCTCCAGGCTTCATTGGGCTGGCTCTGGAGGAGGGCCTGGCATTCCCTTTATTGTGCCCCCTTGTTCTGAGGCTCCTGTGTCCTTAGGGTTAAGTATGTCCACAATACTTGTGTTCCTCCCTCGTGGCAGAAGTTCCCTCTGGCTCTGCAGGAAGGAGCTGAAGCAACGGGCAGTGGAGTGGGGGCAGCTGGCGAGGGAGGCCCCTTTCTAGTGACCACAGCCACACCCCGGCCCCCGGGGCATGGTGCCTGCGCATGGAGGCAGGATCAGGGTGCCAGGAGGAGGTGGAACGTGGAGGTTTCCAGAAGCAGGAAGGAGCCGGAGAGCCTGTGGGAAAGAGGAGGGCGGGGCAGGTGAAGGCGGGCAGACATGCTCTCCCCCGGCCCACGCCCAAAGCTGGCCTGGGTGACCCAAAGCACGAGTCCTCCTCCAGGCTACGGGCTCCCCTTAGTCCCAGCACAAATAAAGGCACTGATGGTGCCAAACTCAGGGTGCAGCCCAGGTGGCCATGGAGCCCACTGTGTGAGCTTGGCCAAGTCACCAAACCATCTGGGCCGTGCTGATGCACAAGAGGGCAGCCTCTGGAGTCCCCCTGACCCTGTCCAGCTCTGATGTTCTGAGGCCTGGAAGAGACCTGCTCCCTGGGGCACTTGTGGTGACCAGAAGTGGCCGTGTCTGAGCAGAGCCCTCACACACAAGCTGACCACCAAGGGAAGGAAGCTGACACGGAGCTTCGGTTTGAGAAAGCCGCGTGGAGAGGAGACGGCGGTGGTGCTGGTGTTAGAGCCCACATCTAGGTAGAATTCTGGAAGCACACCCAAGACACAGGTGCACTGGGCACCTCTCGTAATGGGAACCTGAGCAACTGCGGGATGGAGATGGGGGGGCTTGATCTTTTTGTACCTTCAATTTTTGAACCACGAGATTGTGGTATTTTAACAAAAAACAGCAGTTCCAAAAGTGAAAAGCCATCTGGCCACCTGCTTTCCTTCATGAATTTTCTGAGTTGATCAGAAACTAACCCAACCCTTGGCTTTCCAACCCACCTGCTCGGCAGGTGCCTGTCTAGGGCCCTGTTTTTGTGGTTGGAAGTGCCAGGATCCCACGCCCTGCATCTGTGCTGCGTACCTGTTGGAGATGGGGCACGCCTTGGGCAAGCCCACAATGCTCTGCTCCCGAGCCCGCGTAGCACCGGGCCTGCAGCTGGGGCAGACCAATGGGCCCGGCAGGTGGCCAGCTCCTCTGCGGAGGACAGCAGGGGTCAGATGGATGGGAAGGCGGGTTCTGCAGGGTGCTGAGGGACAGGGCTGGGTGGAGGCTGCCCAGCTGGCATCACATGGTCCGGCTGTACTCGATGCCACCCTTGGTGGAGATGCCCGACCATGGCAGGAAGCTGCAGAGCAGGCTGTGGGCCTGGCGGTAGACCCTGTGCGGGATGGAGCAGGGGCTCAGGCTGGCCAGTGCAGAGCCCAGGTGCTGGATGTAGTCCGTGCGGCTCCGTTAAGGAAGACACTCGCCAGTCCTCACCTGCCTGTGCTCTCCTGGGCACACTGTCGCTGGGGCACAGGACTGCGTGCAGACGGCAGGCCACTGAGGGGAGCCGAGAGCCCACTAAGCCTCTGCAGAGTACTGATGAGGCTCACTAGGCGGAGGGGCCACCACTGCACAAAATCATCAAGGGGGGACCTGGGAACAAGAAGGCCTCCTGGGGAGGCCTCAGGCTCACAGACATGCGCTAATGGATGGACAGAGTGGGGGAGGGGCCTGGCAGAGGAGCACGTATTTTTGGCTTTTCCCAGACTCTCAACCTTCAGGGCAGCAGAAGGGACAGAGCCCCGTCCCTACGACAAGGGTCAACAGTGCTGGCCCCTGGACGCCCATGGGGGCCTGCCTGTATGTGAGCTAGGAGGCCTATTAGGTTTGGGGTCACCTTTTTCTTTCCTGTTTACTTCCCTATGAAACGAATAAATCCTAAATTCATTCATTTGAAAACATGCACGTGACAGCATTTTTTGGGGCCATACTCTCTGTGACTATTATGAAGTCTCCTGGCCTCCCTCCTACCTGTCAGGAGCCAAAGTTAAGGACGAGGGAACAGATGAGGGCACCCCTTCGGTCACGCACCCAAAAGGAAGGTTGGAACCTGAGTGTTCAAAACCACTAAAAACTCTTTCACCTCACTCGTCTGCCTTCCCCTCTGCTGGCAGGTAGGCTCCGCGAGGGCAGGGACTTTGTTCTGCACACTGCTGAGCTCTACCGCGCTAGGACAGGAGCTCTCCGTCAGCATTCGCTGAATGAACACATGGATGGACAGCGGATCCCGGGACAAGAGGAGGCCTCGCGCCGGGCTGAGGCCGGGGGAGCACTGGGTGCCAAAGAGCATCTGTTCTCCGCACGTGCGCAGCCAGACTCACCCACGACACGGCCTGCATGGCGGAAAGAGCATCCACATGCGTGGCCACCTGAGTATCATTTGAAGATGACCACAGCTCCAACTAGCTCACTGGCTCTGCCACCCTTACAGCTGGGAATCCACAGTCCCCCACCCCGAGAAGGAAAGGATATAAGATCGTCCAGGGGGGGTGGCCGCCGTTGATGTAGAGGACGTAGGTGAAGCCATCTTTGAGGACCCCTCGGATGGAATAGTAATAGGGGAGGTAGTGATGCTGTTTAAAGTCTCTGTTCTCGTAGAAGTTTATTGCTGTATTGTTGGTGGTGAGGACATGCAGGTAAATGGCTTTGCAGTGGTCCTGGGCGGTGGTTGATATGTGATCCTTTAAACTTTCAAGTAAGAGGGAACCTTGGGGAGAAGAGGTGAAGGTTACGCAGGCCAGGCAGGAGAAGGGAAGGATGATGTGGGTGACAACGGGACCTTTCCAGGAGTCTCCTGAGGGTCCTGCCCTCTGCGTTAGAGAGCAGCCTCCTGCCACCAGCCGCTGGAAAAACCCCGAGAATCTCACCGCCAGATGCGGCGTGTCGGTCACAGCCCTCCTGCCGGTGGGACCCTCAGTGAGCTCCCTTCCAGACAACAAAAAGTGTAAACGAGCCCAGGAGAACATGGAATAGACAGGCCTGGGTTAAAAATTAAGACTCTGCCACTCACTGGCTGTGTGGGACAGGAATTTGATGACAAGGGCACTAAATGGTGGCGAGTCCTGCTTCTTCCTCTGTGTTTACGTTTTCTGCTCTGAACCAATGACACCAGCCGACAGACACGAGCTGCGCGCACGGTGGCAGGAGGGGTGAGGGCCCACTCCCTCAGAACGCGTCCTGGGAGCGGCTGCTGCTCTGATCGGGGCAGAGAGGCCTGGCGACACGCAGGAAGAGGATGGCTGCAGGTGAGCAGATGCAGGGGCCGCGGAGAGAGGGCAAAGGTCGGACCCAAGATGGGGGTGGGGACAAAGGAAGAGACTGAGGGACATTCATGAGCCAGAGCTGTCAGGAGGAGGGCAGTGGCCGGGCTGGGTGGGGGCGTGTGCCAGACCACGAGCTCCGCCGCCCCTTACCTATGCCGTGCTTCCTGAATTCCTTCACCACTCCCAGACTCAGAATGTACGCGACTTGGGTGTCTACGGAGAAGTTGGAGGCTAGAATATCTCCATCCTAGAGGAAAAGTTAGAGATAAAGTCAGCTTAACGCTCAAGGCACACAGGCTCACTGCAGAGCACAGCCCGGCGTTCTACGCACCGATTCTTCGGCCACTACACTGGAGGGACATGAGTGGGAACCAAGAGACAATGCAGAGTCACCCCCACCTCCCTATGGAGGTTCCCAAACCTCTGAATGGAACCTAGCATTCCCTTCCACAAGCGAAAGCAGTATCAGCAGTTCCTACGACACTGCCACCAAGACAAATCACGGATATTTTCATATCACATTACAACTGTGCGTATTCTCCACGTGTTATCTCTGCTCACCCCTGCTTCGGAATGACTGAGCCTTGTCCCTTAGCGTGTGAATAAAGGCACGCGTGTTACGATATCACAGACACACAGAAAGGGACCAGCTGGGGATGAGTCTCACTTGCCGCTCTGGACTCCCCAGGTCATGCGCTCCTCAGACAAAGGGCTGGCGCCGGCAGCGTGACGCCATCGCAAGCCACCTCAGCCCTGTCCGGCGACGGCCGCACACATACCTCTTTATGTATCTTGGTCCTGTTTTTAATTTCAGCTACTATCATTCCCACGATGGCGCCTCTGTAGGTTGCGGCAAGGGAAAAGAACTTCTTGTTGGAGGTGATGTCACGATACCATGAGTCTGGGTACCTGAGAGAGAGAGAACACACTCAGGTGAACCCGACACAGGTCAGGTCCAACTAATGTTGTGCTCTGCACATGAGAACCATGGGGGGCTCCAGGTTGCTTCTGCCTCCTGGCTGGGGGCTGGTAAGGAGCCTGTCCATCGCTTCCTCTCTACCCGTTGTGGCTTCTTCTTAAAGCAGTGATATGTCCAGACAGGACTAGGAACTTCAGATGGGAAAAATAATTTTACCAGACAGAAAATACGAGAAGAGGGGAAAAAACTCCAATGAACTTGACTCCATGAGAGCAACTCACACGGAGTCAGCGAAACGTGGTTTGTTCTCAGCCAGCTGAGTTCAGGGCCCTTGGTAGGCCACGGACGCTGGGATGCGCTGTCATGGGAATTCTGTGAGCCTTTTTGACGCTGAAGACTAGGGAGTGGTGAGAAGGAGCCAGGTTCATAGCTGAGAGGCTGGACGGGGAGGGACCCACCCTCGAGGGCAATGTGTGGCCGGGGCTGCTCACCAAGAACAAGGCCAAGACCCCCAGAGGGGAGCAGGGGAGAGACACCTGGTGCCAGGGCCCAGGACACAGTCCCCAACAGGCAAATCCAGCCACAGCCCCAGAGAGACACGCAGGAGGCAGCAGCACTCGGGGTTTGACAGGTGTGGGGGTTTGTTCTGCCACTTCACGGTTCAGCGCGATGACAGTTCACTCCACTGTCTTGGGAACTCAAGGCCTCATGCCCACGAAGCTTCGAGGAGAGGCCAGCTGGGGGCATCTCAGGAGGCGCAGGGGTCTTGGGCCCAGGGGGCTCCACCGGGAAGAACCTTATCCATGAACTCACTGGCACTGCTGCGTCGCTGGGCTAGCTTCCCACAGTAGGACTGCTGGGCTGAAGAAGTTTTTTAACTTATAAAGCCCCTGCCGGTACCCGTCCCCAGCAGGCCGTGATGGTTCACACTTGCACAGAGATATTCGGGAGGTGCCTGCCCCCGCCTTCCTGCCAACAGCATAAAGTTAAACAGCAAGTCTGAGGAAATACTCCTGGAAATACTGGTGGTTGGCAGGATCTTTTTCTTTTTCTGTTTCTGTAGGGCGGGGTCTCCCTATAATGCAGTTTTCTGAGTTATAAATAGCACGGCACTGAACATCTTTGAAACTGAAGTTTCTCAGCAGAGCCCTCCGGGGAGCTCCCACATGGGGACACGGTGACGCAGAAAGAGCCAGGAGCAGACAGGAGCAGGGGCCTGGGGTCAACAATGTGCTGGGAGACTCTGGATCCCCCACCCAGGCCCTTCTACGCCTGTCCCTGTCTTTGCAGCGTGGCCCTGGGGTCCCAAAGGTATCTCCCAGCGCCAGCACCTGCAGATCACTTGTCTCCTGCCCTGGCCGGGCCACGGGCGCCGCTCCACTTACTCAATGGGAAACCAGTCGCCACACAGGTGCTTCACAGTGTCTATGTCATCGTGGCAGAGGAGGCGCAGGCTGACCTCGCTGAGGGCACTGGACGGCACCACCTCTGTCATTCACACCTGCAGGGAGAGGGCAGTGTCACCTCACACTCACCTTGTGAGGCAGGCAAGACAGGAGAGCAGAGCATGTCCTCTAGGTGCGGTGCCTCCTGTCACTGTGGAGGCTTCTGCCCCACTCTGCAGATGAGGAGACTGAGGCTTAGGGGGGTGGGGGCAGGACGGGTACCCAGGCCCCTCACTGCTCAGCCCAGCCGAGGGAAGCCCTGCAGCCCGACCAGCTCTCCCCTCTCCCAAATGGGCTGCCCCGGCTCCCCCATGGCTGGTCTCACGGCGCAGAACAGCAATTCCTCCGCTTCAGAAAGCACAAGGTCCCAGCCAGCCCGACTCTCCCAACCCTGGGCCTGGTGGCAGCCAAAGACGGTGGGTGTGGTGGGCGCTGCAGCCCCCACACCTCGTTCCCCGTGGAGTAGCCTGGTGGCCGGCACCAGTGAATGGCTGCATGTCCAGGGGAAGTGGTGCCGGCTTTATCACCAGAGGGTGTGCCTGTGTGGGGTGGGTCACACCCGGTTTCTTCTCCCCTGCGCAGCAGGTGAAGACTCATGGGTGAGACTTTGAGAGACACCAAACTTCAAATCAGGGGCCATGAGTTGCCAAGGACTCTTAAATAAGGAGAGTGTATTCAGTCCGGGCTGCGAGGGAGAGAGGAGGGGAGGGAAGAAAGACAGGAAGGAAGGAAGACAGACAGGCTGGCTGGCCAAGTGTTGGCTCTGACGAAGGGGAAAATAGAGCCTATTTAAAGTTGGAAACCGGTAATCAAAAAGAAACAATCACATATCTACCTTGCCTTTTTTTAGGAGCAATTGTGTTCATCCCCAAAGGCTGAGAAAAAGTTCTTTTTTTACAGAAGAATGACAGCTAATTAAAGGCAGAAATAATGACAGAATGAGAGTCACCACTTTGGAACCACTGGTGGAAAGAACCAAGTCAAGCGAGAATGGTAAACGGCTGTTACCCACCAGGTGGACGTTGCCGGGGAGCAGGGGCAAGGCACGGAGAGCCCTTCTGCTCCCCAGGACTCACTGATGGCCAAGGAAAGGCCTTATCTTTCCATCTCGAGATCTGGCAGTCACGGCTTTGTCCGAGTGACAAGCCAAGCCTCTGTGACCTCCAGCTGCCATGCGTGGGAAGTGCCCCAAGCTGTCCAAGGTGCTGCTTCCTCGAGGTTTCTGCACAACCCCCACCACACGGGTGACCCCCGCCGCCCCCCGAAAATGGGGAAGGATCTGGACACTGAGCCTGGCCTCAGCTCACACAGCCCTCCAGCCTCCTCTGTAAATGGGGGCAGCCAACCCCTCCCAAGGTGGTTCTGAGTTGGACAGGCTCACGTCGAGGTGCCAAGTGCTTGGCAAAGAGGAAGTACGCATTAACATGGGCCGCTGGCACCCACAGCCAACACCAGCCCCGTCCAGCCACTTCTAGGGACGTCACCTTGACCCACAGTAGGGCCAACGCTGACATCTGGGCGGCTGTGCTCTGAGTCTGAACTTGCATCTTCTCAGCTCCTGGCTCGAGGCCAGGGGTGCCAACTAGTTCAAGCTCATCTTCAGAAAGCTGCTTTCTAGACTTCACCCCTCGCCTCCCAGGGTTCTGAATCCAGGCGCCGTTTACCTCAGACACTTTTTTAAAAATAGTCATCTGGCAAAACACACAAAGAAACAAAACTAAAGTGACAAATGAAGGTGTTAATCTTGTTAGGTATGAGAATGGCACTGTGGTTATGTACAAAAATGTCCACGCTTTATGCTAAGAGATGCACACTGGATATGCAGGGGCAAAATGACAGAATGTTCCCGAATTTAATTTAGTTGGAGCAGAAGTGGCAAATGCTGTTACTACTTGAATCTGCATGATGGGGACACCGCATGGATGCTGGAAAAGGGGACTCATCAAAACAGCCGGGCAAACGTCTAACCCCAGAGACTGGGGCTTTGGACATGGGCGTGGGTTCTCCAGGTGACTGAATCGAAGGCCTGGTGGTCCCCCACCAGAGCTCTGGAAAGCGGTTCCCTGTACTGAGGCCACCACTCGGGCCACTGGGCATCTCATCACTGGGAGCGCGTCTCTGGTGAGAGCGTTTGTCAGGTGGTGGGGGTAGACACCACTTGGGACCAAGCTAGCCAGCCCACAAACCCCACTGGGGTCTCAAAGAGCAGCAGGACGCTGGGGGTGCAGAGAGAGGACAGGGCACTGTGTTTGCAGGAGGCGGCTAAGGGCCGGCTCCCTTCCTTTCCCCTCGATCAAACCCGCAAACCCTCACCCAAACCTCGCTCTGGACAGTCGATCGTCCCACACCACCCCAGGCCGTGGCAGAGGCCAGTTCCTCACTTCAGCCTTTTCTGAGATGGGCCACCACACATGGCGGCCTTCTCCCTGCTGTAAGAACCCACAGCCCTGGGCAGCACTGAGACGTCCCATCAGCTCTGCACTGGTTTCTGAGCTCCCACGGGGCTGGCTCGCTCTGAACAAGACGCCACTGCTCAGCCCTCACAGCAGTGGGCAGGACGAGCGCAGGCGACCGGCCAGACCAGCCGCAGGGCCAGGGCCTGAGGGGCCGCAGGTGGACCCTCCTGAGAGGTGGGAGCTGCTGGGGCAAAGGAAGCAGAGGGAGCATGGCCTTACCTCTGTGGCTGCCTGGCGCAGGGGACTGACTGGAGGCTGGGGGTGGGGGAGTTACTTCCTGACGGGACAAAAATGCCTCATATCCTGAATGTGGTAGAGGTGGTTACACACACACACACACACACACACACACACACACACACGCATGTGTGCATCAAAACTCACTGAACTGTATGCTTACAGTGGGTGCATTCTAGGGTGTGTATGTATATTAAGCTTCAGTGAAGCTGATTCTAAAAATCTCTATATTGTGGCTTGATAGCAAACAGAGAGGTCTATAATAAATGTGCATCTCTTATGTTCTCAGATTACATATATCCCCCTGGTATCCTTGGGACGAGGCTCTTGACCAAAGGGACAGCGTTTGCTCCCAGTCGACTTTCAAGAAAAACCCCAGGCTCCGAGACACACAACTGTGGATTCTCGCATCTCTACTAAAAGTACTTCCGTGTTTCAGAAGGCCAGTTCTTTAGCCGCCTCGATTTAAAAATAGAAACACACGTCTCATTTAACTAAGGGAAAAACGCAGCACATGGCAGGGCCTGATCTGTCCCTGCCCAACTAACAGACGGCAGAGAAGAGGCAGTTGGCGCGGGGGAGGGAGCATCTGGACTCACATGTGCCATCGCGCTGTGGCCCACCCGCTTCCCTTTGGAGCTGGGGTTTGTGCTAATCCAGTGGCACAGGTGACTCCAAGGCAGAGCGGGTAGCCTGAGCCCCACCTGAGGTCGATGCTCTCCTCATCCTGCCCCTGCCCCACATCCGTGCCTAGGGTCACAGCAGGCCTGGGGGAGAGGGAACGGGCTGGCCCCAGAGGGCCACCCTGGGCCCAGCTGTGGGAGGAAAGCTCTCAAGAAAGTGGGGCCTCCAAGCCCCGACCCCCTGAGCAGTTTCATCTCTGAGGTCTGGAGGCCTGAACATCCTCCAGGATTGCTGCTGTCACCCAGCTGCTTGGACAGGGGCTCTGCGCCCCTGAGAACAGCAAGCCAACCCCAAGCACCTCTATATGACAGGCTGACGCACACATGGTCTGCTCTGGAGGTGCCTCCAAGCTGGGCCTGGCAGTGGGCTTGGATGGGGTGCCCATGCTGTCTGCCAGGGAGAGGGAGGGCCTTTCCGTTGGCAGCACCAGGCACCGTGGCACAGAGACACCCAGTTTCCAGCCCCTTGGAAGTGGTGACAGCGCTCCAATGCAAAACCACCTATATGAGTCACCCCTGATGTGTGTCTGGGCCTCAAGAAATGGCAGAGCCAAAGCTCCCTCAGATGGCAAAGAATGTTCCAACCGTGTCCGCCTCTGAACCCATCCCTGACATGGGACTTGGTCAAAGAACTTTCCAGGCCCAAAGGCAGCCCCAGTGCACAGAGGAGCCAGTGAGGCCACTGCCTTCCACCATCTGACGGAGGCTCCCCGTCAGGCCACAATGCGCCGCCACGTCGGAGACGTCCTGCTGTCGCAGGTGAGAAACTGAGGCATGGAAGGATGGAGTGACTAAGGGCTCAGAGTGGCTGAGCCCTGGCTCTCCACTGGACAGCTTCCTGTGCCACTTGTGTGAACAAAGCCCTGGTGCTGGCTGGGACCCCTCGCTTGCCCATCCGGAACCTTCCACTAACTAGCCATCACGAGCCACCTGTAGGACACAGGGACGAGAATCTTCAGACAGGGATCCATGGGCGAAGCCAGCAGAGGCCCCGAGGGGCAGGTGCTCTCTGACCCGAGCCCTCCAAATGGATGGTACTCTGGCCATGCTGGAGGGCTGGGGATGCAAAAGTCCCCAGGCCGCCTTTTGGTATATTTTCCTAAAAAGGCACAGAACACAACTCTATTACAACAAACAGGGCCACACATTGCACAGGAGAGTGCAAAGTTCACTTGAATTTTTAAGTTAGAACACGAAGCTTCACAGGTTAGCACCTGTGGTGAGAATTCTTCCCTGCATGCCCTGGGCCTGTGTCCCCAGTCCTCTGCCTTTAGCACATGGGTGAGAAGCCATTGTCGGAGGGAAGGCGCCAGGTCCGCCGCTGCCCAAACGAAGGGCCCGCTCTTACCTCACCACACGCCCCTCCCCTCCCCTCCTTCCCCCAACCTCACCTTCCTTTTGCGCTGCGATGACCTCTGGCCACCGCACTGAGGGCCACTTTCCCTGAGGGTTCATGGTGGCTGGAAGGGGCTGCTGTCTGGACTGGCAGAGTCTGGCCGGGCACTCCCTCCCAGCAACACTGCCCCGTGCGTCCACGTGCCCAGCCCACAGGGGACATGGGATGAAACTGGAGGGATGGCCGCCGAGACAGCCCCAACAGCCACAGGTGCATTTGCTGTTCCCTGCCATTGCCAAGTGCTGGGGAATTCGGAATCTGGGGGACACGGAATGGACTGTATT